GTTGAAAAATATTACTAATAGCTTCGAGTTTAATTTTCATTTTCGGAAGGAATATTCCTCAGAACCAGACTGTTTTTTGTATCCTCCCAGACATCTAGGATTTATGGACATTTTTTTAATTCTCACCTAACGCTGTTTATATTATTTCTTATCACATTTCTACAATGATTGGATCCTAATCAGCATTTTATTTTCAGAAATTGAAAAAAAAAAACTAAAAAATATTTTTTTTATGACTTCAAATCTTCAAAACAATCTTTTCCACTATATAGAAACATTATTTGCAATTAATTACCTTTTTTTGGTTAATATGTGGGGATGTTGTTTGGTTAGATATGATAATAGTATTAGAAAAATTGTTATTTAAAGAGTGATAACTTAATGGATTAGTAGATTTACATTTTTTTATCTTGCTGATTAAAATTTAATTCATTAAAAATTTTATTAAAATTAATTTTTTTATGAATTTTTTAATTTAACATAAATAATTTACTTTTAATCAAATTAGAAATGAATTAATTTCACCCCTCACATAAGCTAAGTGAGAATACCCCAATCACTTCAGAGAGAAATAAAAACCCAAAATTGCTTGGTCCACAAATAAGATTGCACTACAAACCAAAATTCTTCGGTCAGCAAGTAAAATTGCACCACTTTTTTTTAAAATACATATGTACTTAAATATTAAGGATTGAATTTTAATCCTATTACTAAGTTTAATATATGTGGGTCAGGAACAGGTTGGCACGAGGATTTGGCCCTATTGATATCAGGATCTATTCCACTTTTCTTAACATCTGCCTGACATTAATTAAATCAATAAAATATTTGTATTTCCAATTCAATGGGTGGTCTAAGAACAAGGAGAATACAATAAGTTCCATTAGAATTATTTATTTATTTATTTGAGTTAAAGCACATCAACAAATCGAGAGAAGGCACCTGGCCCTTGAGGCCTAGTGGAATAGCCACGGTGCATTCTCTCTCTCTGGCAAGGTTCAAAACCTGCTCTTGCAAAATATGTTCAAAAAAAAAAAAAAAAAAAACAAATTGAGAGAAAGAGAATTGCAAGAAGATCTGTCATCAAATATGATGGTCAGATGAACAACTAGAGGTTCGACTTGAATGATTCGTTCGCAAATATTAGTACTTGGGTTAAGTTGATTGAAATTCAACTCTCACTAACTACTTAAAAAAAATTTATCCTCCCCCATAATTCTCCCATGTTCAAAAAATAAAAAAAAAATGATGGTAAGATAAAAAGTAAAAATGAAAATAACATGTCTTCTCAGGAGATTGATTCATTTTTCAGATTCTTCTGTCAAGAAAAGGAACAAAGCATTAAAAAGACAACATTAATAACTACTAATAAAATCTCAGAATTGAAGGCCGTGTTCACGGGCAGAGGCAGCAACGGCTTCTACACGTCCATGGTACGGATATCCACCTCGGTCAAATGCCACCTTTGTGATCCCTTTTTCCAGGCAGGACTTTGCAATGATTTCACCAATCCTCTTTGCTACTTCCTGATTCCAAAAACTTTCAAAGGTAAGCATCCTTCCAAAAATGGCAGGATAGGTGAGGGAAGTGGAAATGGAACTAAGTCATGACTGAGGCACTAATATCAAAGTAGAAATAGCACACAAGAATTGTTCATCTAATGAATCAAGATCTGAGCAGGAACATAATGAGGGGTTGACAAGAGCAATTTCAAGTTTTGAAGTTCTCAACTGAACCATAAAACAAACTTAGGACTAAAAGACTGGTTACTGGAGCATCTGGCCCTTACATCATATCCAGCGGTTTATGAATAATAGTTAAAAGATAAGAGAGAGAGAGAGAGCACCCTACTGCAGAAAGAAGTTGGATGCTTTTGGTAAAAGAGTAAGGCGAAAAAAAAAAAAATCACACACACATTTAACTACTGTTTCTGACCAATGAATTAAGTAGTGAAAATTGGATTAGATCCACTAGATCATTGATTTTATATGCAAACTCACAATGGTGGGACCAGAAGTGTAGTTGAACTCATCAGACATAGGTTTCTGCATTGTTGAAGCTGAAGCGAGTGTGTGCATCTTGGTATCATCAATCACTTGTACATAGAGATGCTTGTTAGAGCGGAAAATACACAGCCTTGGCCTCTCTGGTGTCCCTTCAACCTGGGAAAGTCACAAACTCAATGGTATAACACATGACTAGTAAACGAAAGTCAAAACCAACAAATTCCATCATAATATATTAATATCACACTGATATGTGGAATCACAGTTAAGAGAATTTTGCTGGTGGAAACATAAATATAAGCATACAAAAAGAATTTAGAGAACTTTTTTTTTTCATTTTTGCAAATGGCAATAATTGCCAAGGCACATAGCAAACCCAGATTGAAGTTGTTAATGGAGAATCAGAACCTTTTGTCCTGTTTAACGTAGCCGAGTAAAGTTTGCCCTAACATGATATCTTGATTCACTGCCTAGAAATCAACCAAATATTTCAAATGAATAGATGTTCATGACAGTTTCCTCCCTGACCACTCTTGGAGTGGCTAGGCTTTTTGCGCCTTTAGCATGTCCTAAAAAGGAATGATGCTTTAAAATTTAAAAATCCTGTCATTGGTAACAAGCTAACAGCAAGCTCTAAAAGACCATTGTGAGGCAAGCCAATTTGAGTCTCCAACTGGTTAAAACAATGATATGAATCTGCAACAAATATCTCACTACACCTCATCTCAAACAATATAACATTCTGATATGAATGTTTTCCCTGTTCTTCCGTCAAATACACTACCACTATCAGTCTACCAGTCTTGCCTCTCCTCCCCTGACCTCTAGCTTAGCTTCTTAAAATCCTTCCTTTCATGAAAAACACACCTTGTCTGATCTCCCAAACAAAACAATCCAAATAGTACCAATTAAGTTCAAATTTTGATACATGTCAAATTAATTTCCCACAGGGAGTTCCTCTCAAAAGAGGGGAAAGAAAACTGAGGGAAACATTACATAAAGAAAAATGCAGACAAATGGAGCAAAAACAAGCAGAAATTCACTTTGGCTAAGGCACACATATGTGGTATAAAAATACAATCTTGTATAAATTCCCATCTGAAAACTGCTAAGAAGAAAAGATTGAGATAGATAATGAAACAAGCCCATGAATATAATTTACACAAAAATCTAATTCAAGCACTAAAGCAATAAAATTGAAGAAGCGAAATCATTGTCCTTTGCAACGAGCATATGTTTTCTCACGTGTTTTAACTGAAAGAACAAAATGAAAAGAAAGAGAGGCAGAAAGGAACCTTCTTCCTGATTCGAGAATGTCGGGCATGTCGGTCTTCTCCTCTGGTGTGAGCTTTAGCTTGTATAGTGAGGAGGAGAGACGGCGATGGGCGCCCCACTTTCACCGACAATTGGGGAACCCCACTGCCCAAAAATGCAGAGCGATTATGAGTAACGCCGGGTAACTGTAATATGGTAGTCGCCGTCGTAGTTGCCATGGCCATTTTCCTTTTTCCTTCTTCCTTCCTCCCACTTCCGACACCTTATCCTTCTTTGATTCCTTCTCTCATATACAGACTGATGCAAAGGCAAAGTGGGTGTTTGAGAATGAAACCCGCTTTATCCTGTCCTTCTTTTTTTAAATGCGTGGCAATAACTGCTCGCTAGCGTGGGACAGAATCAACTCTTGAACCAAACAAAATTTTTACTTTTTTTTTTAATAATGTTATTAACAATCTCATGTTTTGTATCCCATATAGCATTATAATATAAGGGAAATGATTTTAGAGTAATTTTTTTATATTATTTTTTTGATATAATTTGATATATTATTTAAATAATTAATTTTTTTAATTTATATAAAATTCATAATATTAAATGTATTTACTTATTTAATGATACGTAAAAATTATATTAAAAATAATATAAAAAAATTACTCTATAATACTATTCATATGGTAAAATATAAATTAGTGAATAAGATGAAATACTCCACTATGAAGTTCTAACATCTTTTTTTATTAATCCCAATATTTAGAATTATATTAAATTTTAAATAATTTAAAATTAAATTACATCAAATTATATAAAAAAAACTTTTTCAATATTTATTTCTCTATTTTTTTTTAAACAGCGTACTATTTTTTTTTTGAACAGGGTACAAATGAAGGGGTGGTGGGGTTCGATCCTCAACGCTTAAGCTGGAGGGATGCACTTCAAATAGGCTTAAAGTCATCTGCCACTGGGCCCAAATGCAATATTTATTCCTCTATTAATTAAATTTAAATTTAAAATTTTAATTAAAAAAATTAAATTTATTTCACTCAAATCCATAAATCAATGGTAAAATCTAATAATTCTGTTAGGTACAATTCAGATTATATGACTTTCACAACAATTTTTCCTAATTATTAATTACTTTTATTAAAAAAATTTATTGTTTAATTCAAAACCAAACAGAATTGTGAAGT